TCTTGGTTTTAAGATACTTCTTCGGTCCTTAATATAATAGCCATTTTATAGTACAAATTACATTATAAAGCAGGTATGATATTATAAGAACTGGAGGAGTAACAATTTTGTGTTTCCTTTCTGTTTCTTCTATTATGGTTTCTATTACTCGGATGTTTGGTTCTGTTTGAATCTTACAAGGTTTCAGTATATTTATGGAACTGAAACTGTTGTACTCTTCCGGTTCTTAATATAGAATCTAATTAGGTAGTTGATGTCGATCTTTTATGTAAGATCTATTTCACACATTTATTAATTATTTTTTAAATTAACTTTATTGATATTCCCTAATAATAATCAAATAGAGGAGAGAGGGAGAGTATCAAGAAAGATATTTAGGATATTTTAAAAAAACATATCATATTAACATATTTAAATAATATAATTAATATACTCAAATTAGTTAATTAGATTTTATATTGAGAACCAAAGGAGTATCAGATTTCGAGTTGTATTATGAAGTTACGTAGAAGATTCTCTTGGGGCGCTAATTTCTGTTTTCAAATGTTGGGTAAATTTCATAAGACATCAATTAGTGCAAAAAGAATTTGTAATAAAATTTGTTGCTAATTAAAATCAGAGAATTTGTTTATGTTGTTAAGAGCTGTGTACCACCAAGAACTATGGGGACTATGCACACTACACACTTGACACATGGAGATCTTGTTGCTCTGAACCTGGACTTCATCTTAGTCTTAATTTCTTCAGTTTTCTCTCCATGCTTCTTTGATCTGTGCCAAAATATGGATGAAAATCAATTTTTCAAGTTTTGATCTTGATGACATGTGGTGTTCCTATTTCTCTTTGCTGAAGATACTTGAATTATTCTCTAACTCATACTTTTGAGGTGTAGGGAGTACAAATAACGGGAAACTTATTCCGAATGAATTCATTCTAAAATTTATTTTTCTTTGTAATGTCTCGAATCAATGTTATATATGGGCAACGGCGAACTGGGAACCCTTTTCCAAATTTCAGTATAGAAAAATAAATACTCTTAGTTCTATTTATAAGATAGAAAGAAAATGTTTTCTTTGGTCTTATTTATAACTCATCTCATTAAATTTTTAATATACTATTTTGCCTTTTATTTATTATAGTGAAGATAACTATTTTTTTAAAGGTGTATGTATCATATAGGGTTAAAGTTAAAAAATTATTATATTTTAAAAAAAAAGTTAAAACAGTTTAAGATTTTTTTTAATTTACGTAAAATATATTGAAAGTGTTTTATAAATAAGAACAAATGAGTAACTCTTATATTATAAATTATTCAATCTTGTCGCCAACAATTTCCATTTCTCAATTCCATAAAGTTCCATTCACAGACGTTTCATCCGGCACTTTGCAATTTGCATGCACTCCAGGACTAACTTAAGAATAAACAAATTTAATCAGTGAAATTTCCTAATAATCTTCTTTCCAACACCGTTCTAAAGTTATAAGGTTTCCAAATTTTATTTTTAGCAAGATTTAAATAGCAGTCAACCCAAAGTAGAATCTAAATTTTTATCCAACATCAAAATACTATATAGAAACACGTCTGAAAAGCCTATTTCTTTTCAAACATTTTATGAATGAAGAATTTGATATGAAGTTCCAAAAAAATATGTATAATTATTAAAAGGTTCCAAGAATAATAGGGCAACTTTTAAGTGGCAAATTCCAATATAAAAAATAAGAACTGCCCTTTTCTTTCCTTCCTAAGGATGTCATTCTAATTCTCCCTTTTATCAAACACAATCAATGTGACAAACTCCCATAATATTTCTCTTAAAATCACAGCCCCAGAATTCATACATTCAAGCTATAAATCCAATTGCATATAATCACCAAACCTTGCAACTCAAACCAAGCACCAATTGGAAGAAAACCACAATTTCCAAATCCACGCACACAAAGGAACGAGGGAGAGAGGCAACATCCTGCACTAAGCATATAATGCAGCATTCTGAAAAGGAAAAAAAACACAGGAAGGAGAAGAGGTTTGAACATTCCCAAAGAAAGGAACACAGCAGATTCGCGAAGCAGGAAGAAGAAGAGAAGCTCGAGATCCCACACAACGCTCCCCAAAAACGGCAAACCAGAAATCAGCAACGAGGAAGAAGGAAAGGAGAAGATTAGGTGTGGACACTCCCTCAACAATGGCGAAAGAGCAGTGAGGAATGAAGGGCGCTGCTTTTCGAATTCCTCTATCTTGCAGGTGAAATTCTAAAGCTCCTCGGTCGGCACTGTCACGACTCAGTACTCTCCGCCAACAAAGGGTGTGCAACAGCGAAGGATCGGGTTTCACCAGCCGCCCGGCTCAAACATATGCCTTTCCTTTTTAACAAAAATTGCTCTGTCATCTGTCAAAAACTCAAAATACTACCTCTTGTCATTGATATAAGTATTAATTTAATTTTTAATTTGATTCTAAATATAAAACTCTAATATATTTTGTTCTTTATATTTATCTATTTTTTTTAAGGTAGTCTTTATAGTAATAGTAATTCTAGCTAATACATTTGATTAGTAAGGGTATTTTAAAAAAGACAATACCTATTTATTACAAATAACTAATTTAGCTAATTTTTTTATTATATTCAGATTAGTTAACTAGCTTTTTGCTCACCGTCAAGCATAAACTACAAGTGTATGGATTGCAAGTAGTATAAAAATATCGTTCCCATGGGGATTAAGACAAAAATCAGTTTATTATAGCACCTATGTTCTTAATTAGGTTAAGTAAAATCATTTAAAAGATTATAACTTAAAATTCAGTTGTTCCAAAATAATAAAATAACTAAAATTGCAAATTTGATTTCAAGACAATTGGAGCCTATGATTATTTCTCCCCTTTATGTCTTATGAAACCTAACTAAATCCCTTTCAACTAGCATTTAATGAAACTATGTCTTTGTCTAAGGTTCTGAATTATTTGATTAAGCTCTCTCAAGTTAAAACCAAATTTTAATTTTCCATAAAATGCTCAATCTCTTATAACATTTAATGAAGATCATTTGAAGTACCAACCTTAATTTGACAATAGTATGTTAGTAACTATATCTCTATGTTACCAACAAACCCTCCATTCAACTATTGACTTTTAAGGCAAGCACGAATTTATCTAAGTTCTATATCTCAGTTAGCTTTCTCAAGTCAAATTAAGATAAACAAAACATTCAAAGTGGTGGCCAATCACTAAGAAGTATTAAGCCTAAGATAAATTTAACACATAAATTCAATAAATGTTAAAAGAGAGGAATAAACAAGTTTCAATCCATACAATGGTTTGAAATAATCCTAGAATAAGGTGTTTAGCTACTCATAATTGAAAAAGAACAAGAAATGTATAGGATCCCCATGTCCATATCAAAGAGTAAGAAAAAAGAAATGGGAAAAGTTCAGAAAAACCAACGAAAGAAGCTTGAATCTCTTTAATCTTCCAATCTCAAGCTCTAAGATCTTCAAGAATCCTAAAATCTAACTCCAATTTGCCCCAAAAATGTGTTTCTAGTCAATCCCTTCGTTTCTTAGTCAAAGACGGCGTCCATAATGCTAAATTTCGGGTCCTCTAGGTCTTTTTATGCTAGAAAAATGAAACTTTGCGTTTTGAGTTTTGTCGGGGTGCTGTGGCACTCCTATCGCAATGTTGTGGCACCAGAAGCATTGTATTTCTCTTCACAAAGGGTAATGGCACTCCTACTTTGGTGCGTGGCACTAGTGACGTTACTTTTTTTCCTTAAAATAGAGTGTCGTAGCACCTCGCTCATATGCCTTGGCATTAGTAGATCTTTTCAACTTAACTTCCTTACTCATCAACTCCTTTCTTACTTGCTTATAATGTTCATATGCAGCTAGCAATAACAAGCATTTGTGAGTGAAAAAACTGTGGGATTCAACCATTACCAATTTTACATCATTTTCTTATTAATATTCCCCTTATACTCATATGATATCTTTGACAAATTTTTCTTTACCAATTCATGAAAATATTTTCACTTTTGCTTTTATGACTCTCTAAATATATTCAAAATAGACTTTAAATCAGTAGGATTTGGGGAGTCAACACTCTTATATTAAGAACTAGAAGTTGTATCAAATACAATAAAAATGATTTTCTTTACTCTTTCTTCCTTCTTTCAAGTACTAAATCCTAAGCTGAAAATTTAACTTTTAAATATGACATTCATTCTATTTCATTTTATTTAATTTACTCTTTAGTCCTAAAAGCCGTTCTATTTTAACAAGATATTGCTAGAACTTCAACTAAATTAGGTTTAATAACTTACTTAAATCAGGTTTATTTCTGAGTTTCTAAGTCTAAAATTCAAAATATGACAATTTTTAACTATTTTAGATATTTAGAATTATTAAGGAATATTCAATTTCAATTTGATGGTTATCTTTTGTCATTAATTATTGTTTGCATTTATTTTTAGAATTTTACAATGGTCTATTATTAATTTCTAGAGTTAGGTTGAATCTGATAAATAACATAAAAACACATATGCTTTGTCCATCTTATAATTTGATTAAATAGTAGACCGGCATTAAAAAAAAGTCATACTTCAAAACCATCACTCCATGGTTCAAAGCACAAGTCCAACAAAAAAATACATGGGAGAATCCTAATTTGACTAAGAGTGAAAATGCAATAACAAGAGAAGAACTATGCACAACAAAATATTGCGTATGTTACAAAATTTGTCTTAAAATGACAGAATTTTCCTATTTTTACCCCAAAAAAAATGATAAAATTGGCTCTAATGTTATACTTTTATTATATTTCATCTATCTCCTCTCTGTCCTATATTTAATAGCGAAAGTTAAAAAATCACATTAATTATTCTGACGTCGTCTTATACTTTGGATTACAATTTTCTTCCAACCAACGTCTTATATTATCAATCATGAACTAGTTGTTCCAACTTTTCCCATTGCTTAGAGGGGGGCTGGACTCTCCATCATCCAACTCATCATCTAGTATCATCAATGAACTTATCATCAGTGCTGAAACTACAGCCTTCATCAATATTGTTTCGCCAACTCTCAACATCTTCTTTACACACTACACGCCACCCATACTGCCCTATTTGAAAAACTGACTTCTCATGTATAGAAAACGCCATTTGAAGTGGTTGTTCCATAACAAATGAGCAGGAAAAACGAATGTAGATGATAAATAGTTGATGGCGACTTATGGATTGATTAAAAGTGCCACAGAAACGGTACGAATCTGGATATTCATTTCCTGAAACTCTATAAGTCCAAGCAAGGATGTCAGAAGCACCATTACATTTTGCATAACTATCCAAATCATTTTCTAGCACTAAGCATACGCTATGCCCCACCATTCACTACTTGAGCCGCATGAATCACGCCTGTTTGCAATGAATGACACATTTCTTGGCCCAAAAGAGAGAACTGAGAAATCTTCCGCACAAAAATAACTTCGATTGTGAAACCATGATGGCACTTCGCTACCAGAAATAATTAATATGCGAGTAGGTTGGATGAAGAAGTCATCCTGTGATGAAAAAGTATTCATTTAGATGCATAGTAAGACATAGTCAAATAAGAAAACCAAATAATCTATAGATTCAAATAACTCAACTTGTGAATTGTTCCAAGTCAAAATTGCACCAGATAAGTCATTTAATCTGTAAAGTGTCCATCCATCATCATCATCATCATCTGAGTCTTGACATACTGGCATCGAGTCTGTAACAAAAAAATTGGCATGTTATAGAATTATAATGACTAATGTAAAAGAAAGAAAGAATAGTGATAGAGAACTAAAATAAACCTGAAATTCAAAATTCTCAATGAATTCCCATAGTTGCTACGGAGATATACAATGTTTCAATGATGGACAATCATTTGCTTTTATCATTGGTAGGTTTGTTGGTAGCTGAGGCAAAGGTTGAAGCTTTGGGCAATAACTGAAAATAATGCATTCAAGCTTTCCAAGTTTGGAAATGAGGCCGAAGGAATAGCAACAAAATTGTTTCGACTCAAACCTAATATTCTCAATGATGATAAATTGCTGATTTCACTGGATAGTGATTCATCATCAAGATTACAAGAACTTAAATCTAACTCGACCAAAGATGATAGACTTGAAAAAGATGGAGACCACAAAAACTTTGTTGAAGTTGAAGGCCTTTGAAGCCTAAATGCCTGCTTGAGAAGGAAGCAATAGTGATTCCATGATGATGATGATGATTGTGCATAACCATTGCATCTGCTAAGATATAATACTTTTAAATTATTGAGGGATGAAGGCACTTCTTTTATGGCAGTACCACCCATATCAAGCACTTCCAATACCTTATTTTCATTCAAATTCTCTGGAAGCCTTGAAAACTTTGCGCAACCAGATATGTTGATCTTCTTTAGAGCTTCCAACTTCTGAAAATCTCTGGGAAAGCAAACCAGATTTTTGCAATCCTCTAGATTTAATAGAGCAAGACCAATCAAATTGACCAATGATTGAGGTAGTTTAGATATAGCAGTCCCCTCTAAATCAAGCTCAGATAAATGTTCCATGCCTTCACCAAATTCAGGAAGTCTTTTAACTTTTGAACAACCAGAGAGAACTAGTGTCTCTAAACAATTCATCTACAATTTGGTTGGAAGATTCTTAATACTTTTGCAACCTTTAAAATCAACAATGACAAGATTCTTGTGGCGCCCGAGAGATTGGTGAACTTCAATAAGCTTGGTACACCCTTTAAGAATTAGTCTTCGAAGATTAGGAGTTTTATCAAAATTTGGTGTTCTGATCAGGCTTGTTGAATGACTCAAATCAATGAATTTCAAACATTGTAGAAACTGAAAAGAACAAACAACAAAAAAAAGCTTTCAAAAGCCAACAACTAGGCTAGTGATCCGTGTATCAAATTAACCATTACTTAATTACCTGATCAGTTCCTCTCAAAAGTTCTTTTAATTTGCTGTCTTGCATTTTAAGATCAACAAGTTCATCAAATTGAGTTTGACCTGGAAGGGAATCTAAAGGATACTCCTTCCAATCTATGACTTTCAATGAATTGGAAAGACAGTTAAGTCCATGAAGAAGATTCAAATTGGTCATGTGAAGAATGTGATATGATAAGTAACTTGAGATTACTCATATTTAAGAAGGCTTTAGGGTCCAAATATATGACATCTGGTTTGTCAAATTATACCACTATACCACGGATTGCTTCAGTTCCCTATATATAAAACAATAAGTCAATCAAACTAATAATAACATGAAAAATGCATGGAATATATTGCTGAAGTAAGAATGCATAATCATAGAAAAGGGGGAGAGTGTTACCCTCATATTTCTAAGCACAAGACTAGCATCCTCCAAGGACCATATCCTACTACGGTTGCCAGCATCATTGGGTGATTCATGAAAAACAATTTCCTTGCCCATTTCTTGAAGCCTATCATGCACCCTCAAGCACCCTTCAGCTTCAATTACCAATGATTTCTCAATGAGAATTCTTATTCCGATTATTGGGTGAAGACCACTATTTTCTAAAATTTGTATGACATCAACCTTGCTCAAGCCATTGAAAAAGCAAGCAATATCTAAGAATATATTCTTCTCATTATATCGCAGTCCATCAAAGCTCACTTTAAATATATCAAAAAGGCGGTCTAAAGGAATCTTCTTAAGTGCATTCTCCCATTCTGGTATGCTTCTTCCACAAAGAAATGAACCAAGCACTTTGATTGCCAAAGGAAGGTTTTGAGCAGAATTAATCGCCCTTCTAGAAAGCTCTAAATAATCTTCATTTGGCTGATCTCCTTTGAAAGCTATTTGAATAAAAAGTTGAAGGGATTCATCGTGACTTAAGAAATTCATTTCATACTGACAAACTACACCATGCAACAATAACACATGTTGATCTCTAGTTGTTAGTATTATTCTACTCCCTTTGCCAAACCATCCTTCCTTTCTGGCCAAATTCTCAAGTTGGCTTATGTCACTCACATCATCAAGGACAAGTAGAACTTTTTTACTGCATAACATTCTTCTTGTCAGCTTTCTTCCCTCATAACAGTCACACTTCCATTCTGATTGATTTTTTCAAATGGGAAAGAAGTTTTTGTTGCAATGAAATTAAACCACCATCTTTTACAGATTCCTCTCTAACATTATGAAGAAAGAAATGAACTTCATAGTTTCTGTGTATTCTCTCATAAACAGCTCTAGCAAGAGTAGTTTTGCCTAACCCTCCCATTCCCCATATTCCGATAAATTGAACTTCCTCTGATGTATTGCCAGAACTGAATCAAAATCTGCGATTTTCTCATCAATTCCAACAAGTCCATCATCAACACCTTCATCATTTGAATCGAATGGTGGTTGACCATGTATTCTTGACCTTACCTTTTCAGTAACTATCTCAATGAGTTTCGTTTCATACCTACAAAAGATAATAGAATAAGAACATTAGCATGAATTAATTGTAGCAAAAAATCATGATAATTTTCTGAAGTCCTAGGAAATACCAATTTTCAGAGCTCCAGCCAGCCAAGTCAGCAACTTCTCTCAAAGCATCCCTCCATCTTTGCACCTTCACTTTGTCATGTGCAAATTTCTGTTCAAGCTCTTCAAAGGCTTTTGTAAAACTTCCTTTTTGATGCTGAACGTCAGATGGATCCATGCCATAAAAGATTGGAAATATATGAAGGCCTAACTCTTTCTTACAATCAAGGATCTTTTGGAGCTCATCTAAACACCATGTGGAAGTAGCATAGTTTTTAGATAGAACAACAATTGCAGACAAAGATTCTTCTATTGCTTGAAGCAAACATGGTTTGATAACTTCTCCCCTTCCAAGCTCTTCCTCATCTCTAAAAGTTATCAGTCCATTGTGACACAAAGCAGCATATAAGTGGTCTGTAAAACTCTTACGAGTGGCTTCTCCTTGAAAACTTAAAAACACGTCATACTTGTGTTTCCTATTTGAACGAGAACAACTTGAAGAATACCCAACTCCTTGATCATCAAGTGCCATTGTGAGAATTCAAAACTGGACCATTCAAAATATAAATACAACCATCAGACCGTGAACTAATTTTAAACCCGATCTTTTAGATAGAACGTACTAACTAACTTGGCCTCCTGCACACACTCAAGAAAGAAAGTTCTAAAACCCCAAAATGCATTATCAGTGCCAGCACGGGAGTGAATTACTGGTGAAGGATCGTCATGGTAGGATTTAAGTAAACAGCCTCTTAGATTCCAAAAAGTTATGAGCAACGAGACCATTAAACCCATTTGCCAAATATACTCAAAACTAAACATATATCAAAATAAACTAAACAGTTTATATTGTCTTTCGGGAGTTCAATTCCTAACATTTATACAGAGAGAAAGGAAGTGGTGTGTCTTTTGCTCTGAAGACTTCAAAGCCTTTGACACAAGCAAAATACTCCTGAAGTTTTTTTTTTTTTTAATAAATAAAAGAAAATTCGCACAAGCTTAAAACAGAACATGTCGCATGGTCAATTTGAATGGTTGACATAAACTCTTGAGAGAATTAATGGTGCAATCAGGATATACGCAAAATAAAATATGGAATCCTAAGCAAAGAAAAACTAGGAGAAACAAGAAACACAATATTCAAAGTCTGAAACGAATGAAGCAAATAAAGAGAGGAAGTTCCTTACTCAAGTCTTTGGAAGATAGGAATGATTTTTTGACGGCCAAACCTATTCTTTCAAATTTTTGGGCGCGGGAACGATGATTGAGGTTGGAAGAAGCTTGGCGAATATTGCAATTTGAAGGTTTCAATGCACGAAGCTCTCTACCTGTTCAAGAACACCGCTACTAATGTTGCAACTCACTCTGATCGCCCCAGGGTCCTCCAGGATTTGCCATTGGAAAAACTCAAAAGCTGAAGCACCACTATTTAGGACAGCTAAGTTCGGCAACTTGGAGATGGCGATCCATTCACACGCCCACAAACTTCGAAAGATAAGGTCTGGCCATCCGTCAAAGACACGCTACGAGGAAGATGGCTAATTCGACGAGTATTCTGCCAAACTACAACGTTTGCATTGGTGAAATTTCTTCCACCATCAGATGAAAGCAACGGTTGGGGATCACAGGCATCAGAGGAGGCAGCTGAAAGGAGAGACCCAACAGTTGAAAACACGTATAAACAATTTTTCACGTAAATCGAGATAAATTTTTTTTTATATATTTATCTCATATTTTGTAAATCATGATTAAGAAGCTACTTATAAGTTATTCTAAATAGGTCCTAAGTACTCATTAGCTAAATTGAAATAAAATTTTCTTAAATACTTATCTCATATTTTTTAAAAATTGCTTATAAATCATTTTCATTGAATGCTAAACTTATTTAATGTGTAGTGGTAGGGGGAATAATTATATAGAGTATTATGCAGCATATGATTTTACAGAGATTACATGTTTTTAAATTTGAGATAATTAATATGCAAGTCCTTACAGTTTTAACTAGTTTTTAATCAGGCCCCCATAATTTTTTTTCTTTTTATCAGGTCCTTATATTTTCACATGTTTTTTAATCAGGTCCTTGTAATTCTTTTCTTTTTATCTGGTCTTTATTGTTTTCCTTTATTTTTAATTAGGTCCTTGTAGTTTTTTATTTTTTATTCTATAAATAATAATATTCTTTTAAATTTTTAGTCAAACAAATATATTATTTATTTTTCAATTCTAATTTTTATAATTATAAAATTCAAATTATAATAATAAAATTTTCTAAAATTAGAATATAATAATAAATAATTTATAGTTAAGTATAATTATTTATTCTGATTAATTATTAATTAATAAATTATTATATTAATTATTTTGTCCAATTATATAATATTAAGTTAAAATGAAATTAATTTTAAAGAATAAAGTTAATAAATAATTTTTTTAAAAATGGCAAAGGACCTAATTAAAAAATAAATGAAACTATAAAGACCTGATAAAAAGAAAAAAATAGAGGGACCTAAATAAAAACACGTGAAAGTAAAAAGACCTGATAAAAAAAAATTTTATAAGAACCTAATTAAAAATCAAATAAAACTATAAGGACTCGGAAACTAATTATCTCTTTAAATTTTAACAGTCAATAATGGCAAGTTGGCAACTGCACGTACATTCTAGTCTTTGTAATAATATACAATAATAGCGCTGGCAAAAAGAATAATATACAATAATAGCTGGTTCGTCGAAAGCCTACCAACAATTTATTGACCGTTTATTGGCCAGATTTTGAATTGACTGGTTACGAAGTGGTTCTTATCGCATTGATACATAATTATAGCATGATATCATATCTTATATGCAAAATTATCATTAAAGATTTCAGTTTGAAAATACAATTATCAAACAACTTTTAGAAATCTAAAATCATGCCATAGAAGACAAAAAAGATCGAACTGCCCAATAATACTTCGAATTTTCAAGTTTCGAAAAATTATGGATTAAATTAAATATATAAAAATAATGTAATATTCAACTATCCAAATTTAGTATAAATAATTCATAAAACACACTAAATACACAACGATTATTTTGAGATATACAAATGACTCAAAACTAGACATGAGATAGTATCATATATTTTGAAATTTAAAAGAAAAAAAGAAATGTAAGGGGAAAAATTCTAATAAAATGCTAGTTGAATTTGTAAAATCCAATTGGGGACCTAAATTTTCAAAATGCTAAATTAGTTATGTTATTTTAAAAAGTTGGTAAATTACAATGTTGTCCTTTAACTTTTTTTTCTTTTAAAAACCCTCAAGTCACCCTCACCTATCGAGGGGTGGGGCCAAGTAGTCTGAGTATAGATATTCGTTATTGACTAATGGCTAATGGAAAATTAGGATCTAGATTGTATGAGCCTCTCTCTTGGATATGCAACAACTTCTTGGATTGCAATACAGGAGGCGAACAATATTACGGTGTCGAAAATTAAATGTAAACACCTCTTCTAAAAAAAAATTCAAATCTTAGTTATTATATTATGATGGACTATCTTCCGCTAAAACCAAGTCCTGTTAGTTAAATTTATTGATTCTCTAGCACAATCTTCACCAGTTGGGCCCATTCATGTGTAAAGGCTAGCCCACATTTATTTTGGATTTGTGTATCCAGCAATATTTGTGCTATTTTCACTTCATATTTACATATTTTTTGCATTATTTAATATTAGGCAGTATTTCAAACATAATTAATTTTTTTCAATAAGATACTTGTTCCTAAAAAGAAATTTTTTTTAAGCATGCCCATTATATCATATTTACTTTTACCCCTTTAGTTATATATTTCCTCCTTTCAAGCTTTGAACTCAAATATTTCAAGTGAAGGTTACAGTGGGATATTGATTCGCTTGTTATGTTGTCCTTGAACTAATGCCTCAAAGTTTTTCTAACCGTTACCAAAGTTTAATTTAAATAGTTTAGACGCATTTTTAGATTTTCTTGTACGTTTTGAAGAAAGAATAAATTTAAACTCATTGATTGGATCATTAACATGAACAAAAACTAAATCAGCTCAAGAACTAAAATTAGAGGTGGCAAAATGGACTGGCCCGTTAGTTACTGGCCAGCTCGTCACTAGCTCAAGACCATACTGGCCAGTGCTGAAAGGACCGCCTCCTAGCGAGCTCCTATTTTACTAACCCGCCTCTCCAAGGAGTGGTTGGCTGGTTGGCTCACCAACTTCTATTCTTTTTTTTTTTAAAAATTTTTTACATGTATATTTAAAATTTTTTAAATTAAATTATAAATTTTTATAAACTAAATTCTTCTTATTTTTATATTTTCATATAATTCTATAATTAAATTAGTTTTAAAAATTAAAATATAGACTTATAATTCATTGTTAATAGTTATTTTATTAGTATAAAAATGATAAAACAATTAAAAAAAATAAGAAATCAAATTTAGAATCAAAGTCTCTAACAAAATACAAAGTTATATGTAGATTAAGTGAAAATGATAAAACTTTTTTTTATTAAAATTAAAATAAAAATTACAAAAAATTTATAAAAAAAACTGGCTGACGGGCTAACCAATAGTGGGCTGTGGGTTGGCGGGTACAGGTTGGAAAAGACCGCATCAAAATGGTCCCTATTTTCTTTAATCCAACCCTCCACCTTATGACGGGTTGGAGAGTTGAGCCCGTGAGCTCAACCCAAATTACCGGCTCTAATTAAAATATGAAAATTTTAGGATTCCAACATAAAGTCTAATATTTAAAAAATTGTGAAAAAATTAGGGAATCAAAGTTTTCATATTTTCCGCTGTTGCAGGTTGAAAGGGACTGGTCTTTTTAGTCTTCCGTACTTTAACTAATTATATATGCATTTATTTTTCCAATACCAAACTAAAAGCCTTCTTTTCATTTTCTAATTTTTAAAATCAATAAAACTAAAAAGTAAAAAAAAAAATTAATCTCCTAATAGATTTGATCTCATCTATGAACAATGCCGGCTCCTAATTTGTGTGGCTTTAATGGGAACCCCACTATATTTGATCTCATCACTACTCTAGTTTAAAGGTGGAATTTTTCTTCACCTTCTTATCTTTCTTTCTACTCCACGTTATCCTCTTCATCGTCTATTTCATTTTCTTTTATTCTTTGCCAACAGTTTAAAATAAAAGGATTTGGCCGAAATCAGGAGACCAAACATGATCTTAATCTTAACCAAATATTTTGAGGGACATTTTAGGATTAAAGAAAAAACTGGCTGGCGGGCAAGCCAATGGTTGGCTGTGGGTTGACGGGTACAGGCTGAAAAAAATAGCATCAAAATGGTCCCTATTTTCTTTAATCCAACCCTCCACCTTATGACGGGTTGGACAGTTGAGCCCGTGAGCTCAACTCAAATTACTCGCTCTAACTAAAATATGAAAATTTTAGGATTCCAACATAAAGTCTAATATTTAAAAAAATGTGAAAAAATTAGGGAATCAAAGTTTTCATATTTTTCGCCGTTGCAGGTTGAAAGGGATTAGTCTTTTTAGTCTTCCATACTTTAACTAATTATATATGCATTTATTTTTCCAATACCAAACTAAAAGCCTTCTTTTCATTTTCTAATTTTTAAAATCAATAAAACTAAAAAGTAAAAAAATAAAATCTCCAATAGATTTGATCTCATCTATGAACAATGCCGGCTCCTAATTTGTGTGGCTTTAATGGGAGGCCCACTATATTTGATCTCATCACTACTCTAGTTCAAAGGTGGAATTTTTCTTCACCTTCTTATCTTTCTTTCTACTCCACGTTATCCTCTTCATCGTCTATTTCATTTTCTTTTATTCTTTGCCAACAGTTTAAAATAAAAGGATTTGGCCGAAATCAGGAGACCAAACATGATCTTAATCTTAACCAAATATTTTGAGGGACATTTTAGGATGAGATATTAATTTTATATAAAATCATAACATATATGATGAATTGATGGCGGAAGGGGCTTATTTATCATACACACAAATCTAACATTAAGAGAAATTCTAAAAATAACATGAACATTATATGTAATTCAATAAGAAATAATAATATTAATATATTAACGTCAATTATTCCAATTTTTTCCATGAAATTATCCCACAAGTTATGATATTCCAAAATAGTCCTTGGGAAAACCGGAGGCTGTGAGGCGCCATGGCCAAACGTTGTGAAGCAAGGCAGCAACAATCTTCATTCTCTTTCTTTCTTTTCTTTTTATGACTATTATGTTTCTTTTATCCATGGGCCATGGCTTCTCTCTCTCACTTCACTCTTCTTCCACTCTCTTCTCTCACCGCATCTTCTTCTTCTTCTTCTTCCTCCTCCTTCCACTGTTCCTGTTCTTCCCCATCGTCTCAGTCTCTTCGTTCCAAATTCCAATTGTCCTCACTGCCTCGATTCCTCTCCCATTAAGGTTAGACCCAAGAAGAAAGCAACGCGTCCTGAAGGGCTTTTTGATGGTCATCAATCCCATATTTCTGTTCAACGGTGTGAGAAGTTCCACCTTCGATTTCGATACCCAGACCCCTCTCGCCACTGTTAGTGTTCTCGCTGCAATTGCTCTCTCCTTGTTTCTTGGTTTTAAGGTAACAACTTTTGTGTTTCCTTCCTGTTTCTTCCATTTTGGTTTCTATCACTCGGATGCTCGGTTCTGTCTCATTCTTACAGAGTTTCAAATTGAAACTGAATCAGATTTTGGGTTGTGTAATGAAGTTATACAGAAGATTCTCTTACGGCCCATTTACTTTCATTATCTCGTTTAGAAAATTTGCTTACGCGACATGCATTGCACCCATTGATGCATTCAATATTGCTTCCAAATGTTTATACTGCGTCTGGTAACATTGTGGGTGAACGTTGATTCTTCTTCTGGTAATGTGATGAGGTTTTTACAGGGGGATTCTGTGCCTTGTGAGCGTTGTGGCAGCAGGGGTAATGATCTTTCTATATCTCGACTTCAGATTGTTGGGCATTTTCTGCTTTCAAATGTTGTCCAAATTTTACAACATTCTGCGCCAAACATATATGGCATAATTCTGAAAAAGAAAAAAAACTCAGGAAGGAAAAGAGATCTGAACATCCCCCGAAGAAAGGAACACGGCAGCGTCGCGAATCAAAAGGGCATATAGGTAATTTTATAATATTTTCAAAATGCCAATTCATGCCTCATTTCATTCTGTGTCATTTTTAAGCCATAGCCGTTTGAGTTGGAATTTTATATATTCATTTTTTTATGGATTTTCCCGTGTACTAGATGATAACCTGAAAATTTAACTTTTAAATATGACCTATTTCATTTTTATTTAATCTACTGTTTAGTCGGTTAGTCCTGTGAAGTACGAATGATTTTATTTTTTCATGGTATTGTTAGAATTCCTGTTAAATTAGGTTTAGTGACCCACTTAAATCAAGTTTATTCTTGAGTTTCTAATCCCAAAATTCAAAATATGACAATGTTTGACTATTTCAGAGATGTTTAGCATTATTAAGGAATATTTAATTTTAATTTTAATTTAATGTTATCTTTTATTATTAATTGTTGTTTGCATACAATTTTAAAATTTTAAAATATTCTGTTATTAATTTTTAGGATTAGATTGAAACCTATAAACAATATCTGAACACCTATGTTTTGTTCGTCTTATAATTTGATTAAATAGTAGACTGGCATAACTTCTCGTATCTTTTTTTTCTCTGCCAACTTTAAAGCATAACTTCTACAATACATGCATGAGAATTATAATTTGACAAGAGTGAAAACAATGCACAGCAAAAAGGAAGGTGCATTTGTCATTTTCAGCCAATAAATAAATGTAAGAACGTGAAAAATATAATTTTGTACAAAAGATTTAATTTGTAGCAAGCGCATGCCTCCATTTTGTTTAAGCTCACTGTCAAGTGGTTCTTCCAACTTTTCTCATTGCTTGGAAGGGGCTGGGCTCTCCATCATCGAACTCATCATCTACATTCATCAATGAACTTATCATCAGTAGTGCTGACACTCCAGCCTTCGTCACTACTTGTGTTTCGCCGTCTCTCAACATCCTCTTTACACAACACACGCCACCCACACTGCACTATTTTCAAAGGTGACTCCTCCGGTTTCTTCGCCATGAAAAAAACCATTTGAAGTGGTTTTTCCACAACAAATGAGGAAAAACGAATGTAAATGATACATAGTTGGTGGCGAAATCTGGACTGCGCCCAAGTGCCGTAAAGACGGAATGAATTTGGATATTCACCTTCAGAAACTCTATAAGTCCAACTAAGTAGGGCATGATCATCATAGTTTGCGCGTTGCAAATCATTTTCTAGCACTAAGCATACAGCTATGCCCCACCATTCACTTGAACAGCATGAATCAGGCTTATTTACTATGAATGACACATTTGTTGGAGTATACCAAAATGGGAGATCTTTCGCGCAAAAATAGCTCTGATTGTGAAACCATGATGGCACTTTTCTACCAGGAATAGTTAATATGCGAGTCGGTTGCAGGAAGAAGTCATCCTGTGATGAAAATTATTCATGTTAGATGTATACTAATTAATGTGTAACAAATAGTCAAATAAATTAGAAATTCAAGAGATTCAAATAACTCACAACTTGTGAATTGTTCCAACTCACAATACCAGACATCCCGTCATTGAAATTGTAAACTTTATCTCCATCTCCTAATGAAACTTCAAATCGGCATGGAGTCTATAACAAAAATATTTGGGATGTTATGGAATTATAATGACTGATGTGAAACAAATGATAGTGAAGAGAACTAAAACAAACCTGATATTCAAATTCCTCAGTGAATTCCCATAGTTGTTGCGAACACACATAATGTTTCAATAATGGACAATCACTAGCACATATCATTGACAGGTTTGCTGGAAGTTGAGGCAAAGACCGAAGCCTTTGGCAATCATCCAAATAAATAAATTCAAGCTTTCGAAGTTTGGAAACGAAGCTCAAAGGAATTTCAACAAAATTATTTCCACGCAAACCTAATGTTGTCAATGATGATAAATTGCCTATTTCACTGAATAGTGATTCATCATCAAGATTGCAATAATTTAAATGTAACTGGACCAAAGATGACAGATTTGAAAAAGATGGAGACCACAAAAACTTAGTTGAACTTGAAGGCCTTTGAAGTCTAAATGCCCGCTTGAGAAGGGAGGAGTGACTCCATGAGGATGATTGTGCAGAAGCATTGCATGCACTAAGAGATGATGCTTTCAAATTATTGAGGGACGAAGGCACTTCTTTTAGAGCGGTTCCACTCACATCAAGCTCCTCCAATGCCTCATTTTCATTCAAATTCTCTGGAAGCCTTGAGAACTTTGAGCAACCACGAATATTGATCTCCTTGATAGCTTTCAATTTTTTAAAATCACTTGGAAGACATACCAGGTTTTTGCAATACTCTAAATTTAATATAGCAAGGCCAGTCAAATTGACCAATGATTGAGGTAGCTTGGATATAGCAGTCCCTTTTAGATTAAGCTCTGATAAACATGTCATACCTTTTCCAAACTCAGGAAGCCTCTTAACTTTTGAACAACCAGAGAGAATAAATGTCTCTAAGCAATTCATCTCCAATTTGGTTGGAAGTTTTTTAATACTTTTGCAACCTTTAAAATTAACAATGACAAGATTCTTGTGTTGCCCGAGAGAGCAGTGAACTTCAACAAGCTTTGTACACCCTTCAAGAATTAAGCTTTGAAGATTAGGAGTTCTATCAAAATTTGATGTTCTCATCAGGTTTGTTGAATGACTCAAATCAATGAACTTTAGACTTTGTGGAAACTGCAAAGAACCAAAAAAAAAAAAAGCCTTCAAAAACCAAGAACTAGCAAGTGATACGCATGCAATAAATTATAGACAAACAAATTTAAGCAAGGGACATCAATTACCTGATCTCCTCTCCAAAGTTCCTTTAATTTGCTGCGTTGCATTTTGAGATCAACAAGTTCATCAAATTGAGTTTGACCTGGAAGGGAATCTAAAGGATACTCCTTCCAATCTATGACTTTCAGTGAATTGGGAAGACAGTTAAGTCCATGAAGAAGATTCAATTGGTCATCTGAAGAATGTGATATGATAAGTAACTTGAGATTACTCATATTTGAGAAGGCTTTAGGGTCCAAATATATGACATCTGCTTTGTCAAATTGTACCACTATACCACGTATTGCTTCAGTTCCCTATATATAAAACAATAAGTCAATCAAACTAATAATAACATGAAAAATGCATGGAATATATTGCTGAAGTAAGAATGCATAATCATAGAAAAGGGAGAGAGTGTTACCCTCATATTTCTAAGCACAAGACTAGCATCCTCCGAGGACCATATCCTACTACGATTGCCAGCATCAATGGGTGATTCCCGAAAGACAATTTCCTTGCCCATTTCTTGAAGCCTATCATGCACCCTCAAGCACCCTTCAGCTTCAGTTACCAATGATTTCTGAATAAGAGTTCTTAGTCCGATTACCGGGTCAAGACCACTATTTTCTAAAATCTGTATGACATCAACCTTGCGCAAGCCATTGAAAAAGCAAGCAATGTCTAAGAATATTTTCTTCTCATTAGATCGCAGTCCATCAAAGCTCACTTTAAGTATATCAAAAAGGCCATCTAAAGGAATCTTCTTGAGTGCATTCTCCCATTCTGGTATGCTTCTTCCACAAAGAAATGAACCAAGCACTTTGATTGCCAAAGGAAGGTTTTGAGCAGAATTAATCGCCCTTCTAGAAAGCTCCAAATAATCTTCATTTGGCTGATCTCTTTTGAAAGCTATTTGAATAAAAAGTTGAAGGGATTCATCGCGACTTAAGAAATTCATTTCATATTGAGAAACTACACCATGCAACAATAACACATGTTGATCTCTAGTTGTTATTATTATTCTACTCCCTTCGCCAAACCATCCTTCCTTTCCCGCCAAATTCTCAAGTTGGCTTATGTCACTCACATCATCAAGGACAAGTAGAACTTTTTTACTGCATAACATTTTTCTTATTTGCTTTCTTCCATCATAACAGTCACACACTTCCATTCTGATTGATTTTTTCAAACGGGAAAGAAGTTTTTGTTGCAGTGAAATTAAACCACCATCTTTTACAGATTCCTCTCTAACATTATGAAGAAATAAATGAACTTCATAGTTTCTGTGTATTCTCTCATAAACAGCTCTAGCAAGAGTAGTTTTGCCTAACCCTCCCATTCCCCATATTCCTACAAATTGAACTTCCTCCGATTTATTCGCTAGAAATGAGTCAAAATCTGCTATTTTCTCATCAATTCCAACAAGTCCATCATCAACACCATCATTTGAATCGAATGGTGGTTGATCAACTATTCTTGACCTCACATTTTCAATAACTTTCAATGAGTTTCGTTTCATACCTAAAAAGATAACAGAATAATAACATTAATATTAAGCGTAGCCCAAAGTCATGATAAGTTTTTGAAGTCATAGAAAATACCAATTTTCAGAGCTCCATCCAGCCAAGTCAGCAACTTCTCTCAAGGCATCCCTCCATCTTTGCACCTTCACTTTGTCATGTGCAAATTTCTGTTCAAGCTTTTCAAAGGCTTCTGCAAAACTTCCTTTCTGATGCCGAACATCAGACGGATCTATGCCATAAAAGATTGGAAATATATGAAGGCCTAACTCTTTCTTACAATCAAGGATCTCTAAGAGTTCATCTAAGCACCATGTGGATGCAGCATAGTTTTTAGAGAGAACAATAATTGCTGACAAAGATTCTTGAATTGCTTGAAGCAAACTTGGTTTGATAATTTCTCCCCTCCCAAGTTCTTCCACATCTCTAAAAGTTATCAGTCCATTGTGACACAAAGTAGTATATAAGTGGTCTGTAAAATTCTTACGAGTGTCTTCTCCTCGAAAACTTAAAAACACATCATACTTGTGTCTTCTATTTGAACAACAATAGCTTGAAGAATATCCAACTTCTTGATCATCGAGTGCCATTGTGATAATTCAAAAGCTGGACCATTCAAAATATAAATACAACCATCAGACTGTGAACTGACTTTAAACCCAATCTGAGATAGAACATAGGTTCTTGCACAGATTAAAGAAAGAAAGTATAATCCCAAAATGCATTATCAACTATATAAATGCATTTTTATTATTAAATAAGGCGGAAATTGAGAAGAATATTAGATTAAATCATAAGTACTTTATACCTATTTAATTTTGATTATTTTGTTTTTCTTGATTGATTTTATGAATATAAGAATGAAATTATCAGCTCAAGTTTCTCATTTGACCGTTTTAGCCGTGTTCCTCTTGGCAAAACTACTTTTAATTAGTTTACTTGAAAAACATAAAAGCATGGTTGTCTTATGTGATTCTTCATCAGGAAAATTTCAATCAGCCCCCTCTAAGCAAACTTATTTTTCAACAACCCTCAAAGATTTTGAAACTTCATTCCACCCTTTTGACCAAAATGAAATTAAATCTTATGGGTGAAAAGACCATTATGCCCTTGTATTATCTTTTTTCCCCCCCAAAAGGTTAAACTAAAGTGATTTACAATACAAATTAGGCAATTCACAAGATATATACAAGAACTCACAACTCTATTGAGGTTCTATGGAGAGAAAAGTTAAATGTCAAGAATTTCATGAACAACTGAAATAAGACAATTTACAACACAAAGTAGGTGATTTATGAGAGGTACACAAGAATTCACAACTCTAATTGAGGTTTTATGAAGAGAAAAGTTAAATTTCAAGGGTTGCATGAATAACTAAAATAAGACAATTTACAATACAAATTAGACAATTTATGTGAGGTATATGAAAATTCTTAACAACATACAAGATAAGTAACAACAAAAATTAGACAAAAATAGGTTCTTGTGAATGGCCTAATTGATTTGTAGTTAATTAAAGAAATAATTGTGAACCCCTTAATGCTCTAACGACCGAAGCAATTTTATTTCTTTTATTGCTTGTTGTTTATAATTTTATATACGCAGTTCTTTTCCTAATAAATTTCAATTGTGTTGCGTTGGAATTAATTGGATTGACGAACCACAACTTAAGCTTGACAACTAAAATACTAAGGGTAAATTTTATTAATATGATTTACTCCACCTTAATTATCATCTATCCAAGCTTAATCAAAGAGTGGGGTAACACCAATTTTCATTGCAAATCACTTGTTTTATTTGTTCATGCAATCCTTAACACTTAATTTTTCTCTCCACAGAACCTCATACGAAGTTGTGAATTCTCATATGCTTCTTGTAAATCACCTAATTTGTAACATAGATTATTTTATTTCAGTTGTCCATGTAATCCTTAACATTTAACTTTTCTCTCCATGAAACCACAAACGGAATTATAAATTCCCTTGTACTTCGTGTAAATTGCCTAATTTGTGTTGTAAATTGTCTTATTTTAGTTGTTCATTCATCGTTGAACACTTGTATTTGTTTCGTTATATATATATTTCTCTTACATTATATGACTAAATGGATTGATGGCTTGGTTGTTATAATCTTTTTCGTATACCAAAGGATCATGGGTTTAAATTTCCCCTTGACCAATTATTTCAAAAATAAAATTCTCTAGCAATTGGAGCTCTGATGAGTAGCCACTAGCACTTCAATGGCCAGCTGTCAAAGGTCAAAGCTCCATCTATTGACTGGCCACTAATGCTCTAATGACCGATTGTTGAAGGTTAGAACTCCGACAGTGGTTGATCCTTTTTTTTAAAAGACTAATAATAACAACAACAACAATAATAATAATAATGCAAGAGCATAATGGTCTTTTCACCCGTACATTTAATTTCACTTTGGTCAAAAAGGGTGGAATGACGTTTCATAATCTTCTTTGGCCCAAAAAAAAAAAAGAAGAAAGTTTCATAATCTTCTATGGGCTGTTGGAGAATAAGTTGGTTTAGAGGGAGTTGACTGAAATCTTCCCGTCTTCAAAAAGCATTGGAATCCAAGACTGGGATAAAGTGTTTAGTCAAGACATCTTTAGTTTCTGCCTTTTCTATTAACTCGAAACATGTGGACCCAAACCATGCAAGGACTATGAAAATAAATTAATCGTTTTAAAGCATAACAAACTTTGAGAATTGTATAGGAAAACCATCTTTTGGCCAAAAGAAAAAAGATCGAAAGCTGACACCATTATTAGTTAATCAGATGGTATGAAATTGGTAATTACGTACGGTTAAGAAATAATAGATAAAAGCTTACATGAGGAGAAATTTTGAAATGGTCCCTCACTAATAAAAACACATTGGTCCCATTTGATATGAAACATTGAGAGCAAGAGATAGAATTGGGATTGATACTGAGAAAATACATTAAAAGAGTGTTAATGTGAGTAATTCTTTGCTACATATAGAATTGGCAATCCATGTGGAATGAGGAAATATCACCCAGTCCCACCTATATGAGTTTGCCAAATCTCAAGTAGCAAGCAATCCTCACATCAGATTCCTTGATTCCACTTACATGGGTTTGCCTTATCTTATGTAACAATTAATCACACATGTTAAATAATTTTTTAATGTATTTTCTAAATCTCAATTCTAATTCTTATATCTCATTCCCAATACTTATGCCAAATGGGACCATAGTTCATTTTCACGTCGAATTTATTACTTTACTCGCATTTAAGCTTAGAATAAAAATTGAAAAACTATCAACAACTACAAAGACTTTTCCTTGTGGTATGATATGGGCATGACAATGCATTAAAGAAAGGAAGAAAAATAATGGTCAAGGACCAACTTTGTAAATGTTCTTGTTCTTAAAGATCCTGAATAAGGAATTTTCTAGCAGAAATATGTTGTTACTTGCAAATCAATTGGTGTCAAAACCCATTAGAAAGTATGGGAACCAAACTTTATTTTAAAAATAGCCTCTTTCTCCCTGTTTGATAGTGTCAATTTTCGTGGATGTGGATTATTTTGTGAAATTTTGGAAGAATATAGCATCTTCCATAAAATGGAACGCATCGTTGGAGATTCAGGGCCAGCACAGGAGTGAATTATTGGTGAAGGGTTTTCATGGTAGGATCTGAGCAAACGACTTCATAGAGAGATTCCAAACACAATTATACGAACCAATTAGACCGTTATTCAAAAATAAATATATATCAAAACGAACCAAACAATTTAGATTGGCTACACACGCGACAGAGAGTACAAATATAGTTGGAAGCGGTGTGTCTTATGCTTTGAATATGGAAACCCTGATGAAACCGAAACTAGGCGAAACAAGAATGAAGAGAAACAAAGAAACTCGATTCAAATTCTGAAACGAATGAAGTAAATAAAGAGCGAAAGTTACTTACTCAAGTTCTTGGAAGGTATACAGGGATGATCTGATGCCTGAGAAGAAGGAAGAAGATGAGGTAACAATAGCAGCAGTGTCCTCTTTGATGAATTGTGACTTGCTTGACTTAGTGGGGAAGATGCTTTAAAGTGATGAAATCCTTTAAACAAATTTGATGGATGCGGGCCCCGTCAAAAAGTATATGTATTAATTCATCCATTACCATTAAGTCTTCTTCTTCTTCCTTGAAGAGCATACCGTTTTGTCTTCGTTTAAGAAAAAAAATATTTTGCGCGTAAAATCAGATAAGGGGCAGCCACTCACTGCTCGTCTTCCCGAAAAGGATGTGTTTTAAATTCATATAAGTGCGTCTATATGCGTATATATTTTTTCTATTCTAAATATAAAATCTATTTTACAATATAATTTATATCATAAAATAGATTTTATGTTTAGTATAAAAAGAGTACTCCTCTGGTCCTATTTATAGGGCAGAAAGAGAAGGTTTTTTTGTTGTCCTATTTATAAGTCACTTCATTAACTTTTCAGTGTGAATGCATTATTTTGTCCTTTATTTATTATAGTGTAAGTAGTTATCTTTTTTGAAAGGAGTATATATTAAATAGGGGTAAAGTTAGAAAGTTGCTATATTTTAATGGAGAGTTAATACAGTTTAAGATTTTTCTTAGTCTATGTGAAACATGTTGAAAGTGCTTTATAAATAAGATAAAAGGAGTATTAATTTTTTTTGGGTCCCATTTGGGACGCAACCTACAATGTGAATGCAGCATTTTCCACAGACTATTGTACCAGCAAACAAAAGTAAGGATGACAAGGGCCACGTGAAAAAGTGACTGCTTTGCATTTCCTCGTGGCTCCACACGGTTTACTTTATATTCCCGCCATTTTTCTATGTCCTTCTCTTTGACCCAACTTACATCGTAGACTCCACCACTCTTTCCTCCTCCCTTCCGGGTGACCGGTAAGTATATACAGAATAATTTTTTTTTTTAAAAAAAGAAATACAATATAAAGTTGGAAAGATTTCGTTGAAAATTTTATTGATGAAAAT